TGAAAGTTTGGCCTAATATAGAATTCTATGATGGGGTTGGGTGTGGTGGTTCATTTCTGTAATCCCAGCACTTCGAGGGGCTGAGGTAGGAGGACTGCTTGAGCACAGGAATTTAAGCCCAGCCTGGGCAACAGAAACAGAATAGGGGAGGATTGTGAAGGGTCAGATGGAAGCCAAAGAAAAGGAGGATGCTAGGGAAATTTCAGATTATAGGGCTCCCAACCAGTGGACTCAGCCTTAGATAGAAGTTTCCAGTGGCATTTGTCTATAGAAGGTCCTGACCATACAGGACTTCAAGACTAGCCTGGCCAACAAAATGAAACCCCATCTCTACTAAAAATAAATAAATTTTAAAAATTAGCCGGGCATGGTGCCGCACGCCTGTAATCCCAGCTACTCTGGAAGCCGAGGCAGGAGAATCGCTTGAACCTGGGAGGAGGAGGCTGCAGTGAGCCAAGATCATGCCACTGCAATCCAGCCCGCACGACAGAGCAAGACCTGTCTCAAAAAAAAAAAAAAGAAGAAGAAATCCCTGACCATAGATTTGATGAAATGTAACCTGTTTTCTTCAGGCAGCCACAAGATCGCTCCTTTCTAGGAGGCTCTCCTAAGTATCTTTATCAGAGTATTTTTATCTTGTGGTTTTTGTTTTGTTTTTTTTTATTTTGTTTTTGAGACGGAGTCTCGCTCTGTCACCCAGGCTGGAGTACAGTGGCGCAATCTCAGCTCACTGCAAGCTCTGCCTCCCAGGTTCACACCATTCTCCTGTCTCAGCCTCCCGAGTAGCTGGGACTACAAGCGCCCGCCACCACGCCCAGCTAATTTTTTTGTATTTTTAGTAGTGACAGGATTTCACCATGTTAGTCAGGATGGTCTTGATCTCCTGACCTCATAATCTGCCTGTCTTGGCCTCCCAAAGTGCTGGGATTACCGGCATGAGCCACCACGTCCGGCCTGGTTTTGTTTTGTTTGTTTGTTTATGTGTGTGTTTGTTTTGGAGACAAGGTCTCCCTCTGTTGCCTAGGCTGGAGTGCAGTGGCATAATAATAGTTCACTGCAGCCTCAAACTCCTAGGCTCATGTGATCCTCCCAGCTCAGCTCCTGAATAGCTGGGACTACAGGTTTGTGTTGTTTTAAGTTAAAGAAAAAGTCAGGGCTGGGCACGGTGGCTGACACCTGTAATCCCGGCACTTTGGGAGGTCAAGGCAGGCAGATCACTTGAGGTCGGGAGTTCGAGACCAGCCTGACTAGCATGGAGAAACCCAGTCTCTACTAAAAATACAAAATTAGCTGGGCGTGGTAGTGCATGCCTGTAATCCCAGCTACTCAGGAGGCTGAGGCAGGAGAATCGCTTGAACCCGGGAGGCAGAGGTTGCAGTGAGCCAAGATCTCACTCTTGTACTACAGCCTGGACAACAAGAGCAAAACTCTGTCTCAAAAAAAAAAAAAAAAAATCCTTTAGACATCCCTTGTGTTTAATAATCCCTGCTTCACCTTCCTTCATTATTTCAGCAGGAAGAAAAAGTGATATAATAAAGGTGAAGGCAGCCAACTATGTTTTGGTGTGTTTTCTAAGCCCCTAAGGACAATTAAGAAAAGCACCTTGTCAAATTGGGACCTGATAGTCCAATTAGATGTTATCAGGAATCTCTATTTCTGGAAGGGCTGTCCATATATGCATTGCCGACATTTGCCATTAGGGGTGCCCTCTGCAAGTCATGGAACCAAGCCAGTGCTCAGTTTTTACAACCTGCAGCAGGGTAGTCGGGGTTCGTGGGCCAGTGGAATCTGAGAGCTGAGCAAGTATAGTGCTGCATACCAAGTGCTGAAAGGTTACTAAGTGAACAGAAGTGGAATGAATGTGTATTTTAAAGGCCAATTGTTCCCATTCAAATCTGAGTTTGAAGGGAAGGAGGCCCAGGCCTTGAGATCATTTTCAGTTCTGCTACTTGAATAACAACATCTTTGTTCCTCAAGTAGCAACAACTAAAAGCAGCAAAGCCTTTCTGGAACTTCAGCTCAAAATTAAGCTGTGACTTAATTTTCTTCAGAAAGGGATCCAGATTGAAATGTGAATATACTAGATAATGTTTTTGCTTTGTTTTTTCATTTTGTACCATAGCAAGAAGGACCCTTTTATTAAAGGTTTCCAACATATTCACTTGGTCACAATCAAGATAATGGTAACATATATATAATGGTAATATATTTAAATTGATCATTATGATATATACTTATATAGATGTATGTTAGTGTATAGCATATTAGTGTGTATAGCATCTTAGAAAGAACAGATATATTTATGTTAAAATATTTGTTGCATTCTTAAGTGCCAAGCAGCTTTTATTCTCTTGATAATTATTGATTATATCCCGACATTTGTATAAAAAATTCACTTTATTTCGACAGATCCTAATTTGCTGTTACTGTATCAAGTGGCCTTGCCATTTTTTTAAATTTTATTTTGATTATTTTTAAATTGACCAATAATACTTACACATATTTGTGGGGTACATGGTGAAGTTTTGATACATGTAATGTATAGTGAATAGATCAGGGTAGTTAGTATATCCATTATCTCCAACATGTATCATTTATTTATGTTAGTAAAATTCAATACCCTCCTTCTAGCTATTTGAAACTAGATAATACATTATTGTTAACTATAGTCATCCTACGGTGCCATAGAACACTAGAACTTATTCCCCCTATCTAGCTGTAATTTTATTACTGGAAAGGGGTCCCAATCCAGACCCCAAGAGACGATTCTTAGACCTCATGCAAGAAAAAATTCAGGACAAGTCCATAAAGTGCAAGCATGTTTATTAAGAAGGTAAAGGAATAAAAGAACGGCTATTCCATAGGCAGAGCAGTGGCATGGTCTGCTCAACTAAGTATACTTATATCTTGATTATATGCTAAACAAGGGGTGGATTATTCGTGCGTTTTCTGGGGAAAGGGTAGGAATTTCCCAGAACTGAGGGTTCCTTCCCTCTTTAGACTATATAGGGTAACTTCTAGACATTACCATGGCATTTTTAAACTGTCTTGGTGCTGGTGGGAGTGTCTTTTAGCATGCAAATGTATTATAACTAGTGTATAATGAGCAGTAAGGACTATCAGAGGCCACTTTCATTGCTTTCTTGGTTTTGGCCAAGTTCTTTACTGCATCATGTTTTATCAGAAGGGTCTTTGTGACCTATATCTTGTGTCAACCTCCTATCTCGTCCTGTGAGTAAGAATGCCTAACCTCCTGGGAATGCAGCACAGTAGGTCTTAGCCTCATTTTACCCAACCCCTATTCAAGATGGAGTTGCTCTGCTTCAAATGCCTCTATTTTGTATCCTTTAACAAATCTTTCCCTATCCCTCCTTCCTCCCCACCTTTCCCAGCCTCTAGTATCCTCTGTTCTACTAGGTAATGTTTTTATTTTATTTTATTTTATTTTATTTATTTATTTATTCATCAGATGGAGTCTTGTTTTGTCACCCAGGCTGGAGTGCAGTGGCGTGATCTCGGCTCACTGCAACCTCTGCCTCCCGGGTTCAAGTGATTCTCCCACCTCAGCCTCCCCAGTAGCTGGGACCACAGGCACATGCCACCATGCCCAGCTAATTTTTGTATTTTTAATAGAGACAGGGTTTTGCCATGTTGGCCAGGCTGGTCTCGAACTCCTGGCCTCAAGCGATCTGCCCACCTCGGCCTCCCAAACTGCTGGGATTACAGACATGAGCCACCGCACCCAGCCAGTGATGTTTTTAAATGCTTTAAAATAACTGTTTTAAGGGCCACGCCTGTAATCCCAGCACTTTGGGATTACGCCACCAGGTGTGGTGGCAAGTGCCTGTGGTCCCAACTACTTGGGAGGCTGAGGCGGGAGAATCATTTGAACCTGGGAGGTGGAGGTTGCAGTGAGCCGAGATCACGCCACTGCACTTCAGCCTGGGTGACAGAGCTAGACTGTGCCTCAAAAAATAAAATAACTGTTTTAAAATACCCATGTCCTTGATTTGGGGTAATTGTTGTTTCATTTTACAGTATATTGCCTATTTAATCTAGTGTCACACCGCAACATATTAGAAAGAACATGGAAGACTTATAGGTCTGGACTTATTGCATTGCATTGATAGATTGTCTAATCTTTTTTATCCTCAGTTTATTCTTCTGTAAAAACAGGAATAAAAATCCTCCTTGTCAGGGATAATACCTTGCAGGATAGTAAGGGTTAACTAAAAAGATGTATGTGAAGATACCTAACAGTAAAGGGGTATTGAATAAATGACTAATGTTGTTTCCTCATCTCACTACTGATTCCATCTGTCACAGCTCAGTAGATGCTGCCAGTAAAAAACATTTTTTTTTTTTTTGAGATGGAGTTTTCACTCTTGTTGCCCAGGCAGGAGTGCAATGGCGCGATCTTGGCTCACCACAACCTCTGCCTCCCGAGTTCAAGCGATTCTCCTACCTCAGCCTCCCGAGTAGCTGGGATTACAGACATGCACCACCACGCCCGGCTAATTTTGTATTTTTAGTAGAGACAGGGTTTCTCCATGTTGGTCAGGCTGGTCTTGAACTCCTGACCTCAGGTGATTCCCCCACCTTGGCCTCCCAAAGTGCTGAGATTACAGGCATGAGCCACCATGCCTGACCAACATATTATTTTAATAACTGACTATAACCCAACTACAGCCATTTTCGCTACTATCAAGAAAGGAAAATTCATTTAACTTAAGAAAAGCAACACAAGCAGAACAAACTTAGAGAATAATATAATGCCAAGACCAAGATCTCTCCAGAGATAGTTTAAATCTGGGTTTACATTTTCCCCTACTTCAGGGCTTTTCTGGGATGCTGGTAGTGACCTATTTCTTAATCAAGATGGTGGTTACAAGGGTGTGTTCATGGTGTGATAATTCATTGAACTATACACTTAAGATTTGTGTACTTTCTATATGTATATATTATTTTTCAACTAAAAATGTAAAAATATTTCTCTGCAGACATCATGCCCAAGTTCAAACAACAAAGACGAAAGCTAAAAGCCAAAGCCAAAAGATTATTCAAAAAAAAAGAAGCCTCCCACTTTCAGTCCAAGCTAATTACATCTCCTCCTCCACCACCCTCGCCAGAAAGGTAAGGCATAATGTGGAACAGAGAAAATGCTAGAGAGATCTGATAAGTTTAAGATAGAGTTTCCAGATTTAGCAAATAAAAATAGAAGGCAGGGCTGGGGGCAGTCACTCATGCCTGTAATCCCAGCACTTTGGGAGGCCAAGGCTGGTGGATTACCTGAGGTCAGGAGTTTGAGACCAGCCTGGCCAATGTGGTGAAACCCTGTCTCTACTAAAACTACAAAAATTAGCCTGTGTGGTGGTGAGCACCTGTAATCCCAGCTACTCGGGAGACTTAGGCAGGAGAATTGCTTGAACCCAGGAGGCGGAGCTTGCAGTGAGCTGAGATCGTGCCATTGCACTCAAGCCTGGGCAACAAGAGCAAAAGTGCCTCTCAAAAAAAAACAAAAGGAGGACCAGTTAAATTTGAATTTCAGATAAACAATGAATAATTCTTTCATATAATTGTGTTCTATGTGACATTTGGAATATATTTATACTATAATTATGCATGCTTTATCTGAAATTAATTTAAGTTTTATTTATTTGTTTATTTACTTTTAAGACTGAGTCTTACTCTGTCACCTAAGTTGGAGTGCAGTAGCATGATCAAGGCTCACTGCAGCCTTGACTTCCTGGGCTCAAGAGATCCTCCCACTCTGTCTCCAAAACAGACAAAACCTCTAGCTTGGGATCGGCCTTCTCGTCTATTATTTTTCTTTTTAAAAATTTTTTTTGAAAATAGATGTTGATACTATGTTGTCCAGGCTGTCCTCAAACTCTTGGCCTCAAGTGATCCTCCGCCATGACTTCCAAAAGTGCTGGAAATGTAGGTGTGAGCACTGCACCCACCGTTACGTTTTTTTCTACATAAAAAATAATGCAGGATTATCTTCTAGAGCTAATTAATATGTTCAAATAACCAAAACCCCATTAAGGAAAAATGTCACATGACAGCAAATAATCAATCCAGACCAATATGATCACACTCACTGTGAAGGTGAGAAAACTTCATCTTTATTACATTTCCCCAAGAGACGCACTGCATTGTTCTCTTGAAAATACACAGCTCATGTCCTCCTTTAAAATACACATCCTCTTTAAAGTAACATACAGATATGCCAATACAAGGTAAAAAATTACATCTGATTTCTCACATTTCAAAAACATACAGTAAACATCAAATAAAAATTTATTTTTATAAGAATTTAGAGGAACTATCATGTAGCTATAAGTGTAATACATATATTAAGTATCATAGATAAAAAGAGTGCTCCCTTCAGCAGCACATGTAGTAACAGATACAAAGATTTAAAGATAAAAGCTTTAGGATAAAAAGAATCCTCTCTTAAAAAGGAAAACAAAATTACATTTATGTATATATAGCAACTATAACACCCATCTCACAACTTTATAGGAACAGTGTCTATTCAAAAATATCAGTATTTTCAAAATATTTAAAATAAATGTAGTAATAATTCTATGCCCATCTTTTTCAAAATAAACCAATAAAATATATAGTATATATTAGACATGTTAGTATATATCTAAGACATGTTAAAAATCACAACTGAATTCTCACAATTCAGTCACAAATTAAACAGCAAATAAAAATTTCTGTGACAGGAACTTAGGAGAACTACCAATAGCTATAAATAGAAGGGATTATTATGTAAGTATCCTAGATAAAAAGTATACTTGCTTTAGAGGCACATATAATAATACAGAAAACAATTTAAAGATAATAAAAGATTTAGGATAAAAAGGATTCTCTCTTAAAATGAAAAGAAAATTATATATATATAACAGCTATAACTCTCATCAAAAAATCTACAGGAACAGCATATTTTCAAAAGTACAACAATTTCCAAACTATTTGAAATAAACCTATTAATAATTCGATGGACAACATTTTCCAAACAAACCAATAAATGCAGTGTGCATGAAGCTATCTGTTACAGTCTATGGCACTCATATTTTACAAAGAATTCTGTGCCAATCTGAGTGTCTGCACTGTGCCTTCAAATGCTCCTGGACTGTGGCAACCAAATCCATAGGAAACAAGACCTCCAGGTTCCGCCCCGGGGAGGTTGGAATTCAGCAATATAAAAAAAGAGAGGTGGTGCTGCAGGAAGGGGTGGAACCAGGAACACCCCTGGTTTCTCACTGTTCTCTGTGGATTCCTAGAAGTACCCGCTTTGTCCTAGGAGGGCAACGGTGATCACTCTATTCAGCTCCATCTAGAACAGTCCAGGTTCTTCTAGATGATCTGCACAAATGGCTCCTCTCCTCCTTCCTGGTGTCTGCCATTAGCATTGGAATAAAGTTCCTGCTGAAAATCCGCATCTCCCCTGGGCCCGGTGTTCTGGAAGTGAGAGAGAGGATGTCACTCTTCAAGGAGGCAGCTCTCTAGACAGGAAGGTTATTCACGTCCCACGTCAAGTCTAACAAGAGTTCAGAGCCATTGAGAAATCCAATTTTATCATCTGTCCTTCATTCTATAGCCTGCTTCTGAACCATCGTGTTCAACTGTGAAACTCACACTTTGGTGACCCTGATTCCGAAACTCATTTAATACACCCAAGGTCAGTCCCAGTGATCTGCTTCATAGCAAGGACTTTGGGTGGGTCTCCCCAGGGAGTCGGGCACCCTCAGAGAGTGTGGCTTTGGACTTCATCACAGCTGGGGCCTTTTGTGTCACTTAACAGCTAAACTTGTAACCACGCTAGATCCATTTCTAATGTGACAACATCACGAACCCCAAGTCCAGAAGCCTAATCCATAATCCTACCTCCTCATGATGAAGTCTCATGCTCTGCTCACCGTGGTTAGCTGCATAAGATGTAAACCAAAGCTTCACTGAACCCTCGACCCAAATCGGTAACTCAAGTGTGTCAATCATAATGAACCTCCCCAAACTAAGTATTTATGATTATTTTTGAGTCAGGGTCTCACTCTGTTGCCTGGGCTGGAGTGCAGTGGCAGGATCAGGGCTCCGTGCAGCCCCGACCTCCCAGGCTCCAGTGATCCTCCCACATCGCCTGACTAATTTTTGTATTTTTGTGGAGAGGGGATCTCGCCATGTTGCCCAGGCTCGAAGCCGGATCAAGCAATTGGGTTCCTTGGATTTCCGAAATAGACCCCAATATTCTGCCTTTACCCTGGAGGATGCAGATGTACCTTCCCTCAGGCCGATGACCTCAGGCCTCCATGGTCCCTGGTGCTCTAGGAAAGGCGGGCGCGATCTCGTGCCCACACCCAGTGCTCTGGGTCATAAGCCTGGATCTGGAAAAACAAATGCCCCTTAAGAAGATGGGGACTCCCCAGGATACCCCTCCCCCCGCTTCCAGCCTCCAGCCCACCCGATTCCTCCCTACCTCCTCCACCTCCCCACGCCCCACCCACCTCCTCCAACTCCTCCAGGGAAACCCAAGCCCTGCAGCGCATGGAACAGAAGAACTGGAACCGAAGCTTATGGAACAAGGGTATCTGGGATCGGTTCTTCCCGTACAGGAAGTAGAAGATGTTTCGTTTGGAGGCCTCATTGTCCTCCTCCATGTCATTAGCCAGGTAGCTGGGGACAGAAATCAGGTTGCTGCTCAGGGGCACCACCAGGAGAGACCTCTGGCTGAGGTCAGCTTCCCAGAGAGGAGGGCAGGGGACTGCCCTCAGCTCAGGACTGGCACCCACCCTGCAGAGCCACGCCTTCCTCAGGAGGGCCCTGATGGACAGAGACCTGCTGAAGGGCATCTCCCACTCCTTCAGGATGGAGACAAAAACCCAACTGGTGGCCGAGAGTGGTGGCTTACTCCGGGAATCCTAGCACATTGGGAGGCTGAAGCAGGATCATTTGAGGCCACGAGTTTGAGATGAACCTGGGCAACATAGCAAGACCCTCGTCTCTATAAAAAATGTAAAAAACACACTGGACGTGGTGACTCATGCTTGTAATCCCAGCACTTTGGGAGGCTGAACCAGGTGGATCGCTTGAGGCCAGGAGTTCGACACCAGCCTGGTCAACACGGTGAAACCCCATCCCTACTAAAAATACAAAAATCAGCCTGGTGTGGTGGCACAGGCACCCTTTAGTCCTAGCTACTCAAGAGGCTGAGGCACAAGAATTACATGAACCCAGGAGAAGGAGGTTACAGGGAGCCAAGATTGGGCCACTCCATTCTAGCCTAAGAGGCAGAGCAAGTCTCTGTATCAATAAATAAATAAATAAATAAATAACTGTCCAGGTGTGGTGGCACAGCCCTGTGGTCAAAGCTAACCTGGAGGCTAAGGTGGGAGGATCACTTTAGTACAGGATATGGAGGCTGCAGTGAGCTATGATCTCACCACTGCACTCCAGCTTGGGGGACAGAGCAAGTCTGTCTAAAAAAGTAAAATAAATTGAATACATTGATATTTTGCCAAACCCTGCCTTCTACAAGCATCTAGTCTAATGGGACTGGGAGTAATCAGGGCAGATGACCTAATCCCAATGTCACATGGAAATAGGATGTAACTGGAGAGCTACGAGCATGCAAAAGTTGGAAGATGAAGGAAGGCATCACAGAGGCTGTGGGGTGAACTGACTTTAAGGAATGGGTCCTTCACTTGAGAACCACATGGATGTGGAACACCCAGACAGAAAACACAAATGCAAAGTCGAGTAGAGGGCATTTGGAAGGAGCAGTGAAGCCACGCCAGGAAGCACCAAGATGGCGAGCCAGTTTGGTTGTAGAGATTGTAGAGAGGGTGGAATTTGCACTGTGGACCCTGGCCTCGATTTTGAAAGACATCAGCTAAGGAAGTTGTTCAGGTGGGCAGTGAGGGCGTTGTGCTTTGGAAAGATGCTCAGGCTGCACTAGGAAGCCCCAAGGCATGGAGAGAGACTCCAGGAGACCCCAGCAGGGAGCATTTGACAGTGGATTAGAGTGATGCAAGAGGGACCTGAACTGTGGCCTCTGTCACGGGAACCTCGAGGAGGTCGATGGCATTTGCAGTTGATGGAACGGAGAGAGAAAGAAGAACCAGAAACGTCTGCTTGCTTGGGGGAGCGTGGTGTCCACTCCTCTGCTCCTTTTCTTCTCCCCTTAGCGGTTGATGGTTCCTTTTGTTTTCTTCTTTTATTTGTACACTGGCATTGGAATTTGTTTTTTTGGCTTTCTTTTTTTTTTTTTGAGAAAAAGTCTCGCTCTATTGCCCGGGCTGGAGTGCAGTGGCTCAATCTTAGCTCACTGCAACCTCTGCCTCCTGGGTTCAAGGGGTTCTCTTGCCTCAGCCTCCCAAGTAGCTTGGATTACAGGTGCACACTACCATGCCCAGCTAATTTTTCTATTTTTTGTAGAGACAGGGTTTCGCCATGTTGGCCAGGCTAGTCTCGAACTCCTGACCTCAGGTGATCCATTTGCCTCAGCCTCCCAAAGTGCTGGGATTACAGGCATGAGCCACTGCGTCCAGGCTGAGTTTCTTTTTAGAAACAACAGTCTAAGAACAAGATAGTATAATCCTCTCTTTTCTGTACACAGAGTAAAGAGGACAAATAGGTGAAAGAATAAATGAAAGGCTGGAATCCCACTTTCCCTGCTGTCCCAGGGCATTGGATATTGACGGATAGGAGGAAGCAGACCACTCACAGAGCCAGGAAGAAATGAATGCGTTGGTATTGCCAGGAGAAGAGGCCAGCACGGCTAAAATATGCTATGACCATAGCCAGGAGATACTGGTGGAGAGAAAGAAACAGAGAGAGGGAGAGGTCACATCTTGAGAGAGGAAGATCGTGGAGATAGTGGAATGGGGGTGTGGGGAGGGGCTGCCCATCAGAGAAGGGACCTCAGTGTTGGCGTGACTGTGTTCATGTGGAAATTGCAGGGTGGAGGAGTATTCCTCCCATCACCGGAGGAAGGGATGTCGGTGATGCTCCCAGGATGGTGGGCTCCAGTGGGATCTTTTAAGGGGTGTGTCTAGGTCGGCTGGTGTCAGGAGGGTCTTTTGTGTGCCAGGCAGAGAACTGTCCCAAAGAGCTGAGAGTAGAGGGGCCAGGAGCTTCAGGGCTGCGGCCTGACTGCCAAACGACCTGTAGGAGAGGCAGGGGCCACTCATTCACTCGGCAAGAGACCAGCAGTGTCCTGAGGGAGATGCTGACAAATCATAAAAAGACCAAGAATAGCGGGGCGCAGTGGCTCACGCCTGTAATCCCAGCACTTTGGGAGCACAAGGCGGGCGGATCACAACGTCAGGAGATCTCGACCATCTTGGCTTACGCAGTGAAACCCCATCTCTACTAAAAACACAAAAAATTAGCCGGGCGTGGTGGCGGGCGCCTATAGTCCCAGCTGCTGGGGAGGTTGAGGCAGGAGAATGGCGTGAACCCGGGAGGCGGAGCTTGCAGTGAGCAGAGATTGCGCCACTGCACTCCAGCCTGGGCGACAGAGCGAGATTCCGTCTCAAAATAAAAAAAAAGACCAAGAATAGCTGGGAGTGGCAGCTCAAGCCTGTGATCCCAGTAGTTTGGGAGGCTGAGACAGGAGGATCACATGAGCCCAACAGTTCGAGAACAACCTGGGCAACTTAGCAAGACCATTTGTATAAAATTATTCAAGCATGATGGCATGTGCCTGTACTCCCAGCTACTCAGGAGGCTGAGGCAGGAGGATTGCATGAGCCCAGGAATTAGAGGCTGCAGTGAGCTGTGATCATGCCACTCTACTCCATCCTGGGGAACACAGCTGGATACTGTCTCAAAAAAAAAAAAAAAAAGTGGGCACCAAGACTCAAGACTGTGGGAGCTGGAGGGGCACAGTGGCTCACTTCTGTAATCCCAGCATTTTGGGAGGCCAAGGTGAGCGGAACACCTGAGGTCAGGTGTTCAAGACCAGCCAGGTCAACATGGCAAAACCTCGTCTCTACTAAAAACACAAAAATTAGCCAGCCATGGTGGTGCACGCCTGTAATCCCAGCTGCTTGGAAGACTGAGGCAGGAGAATGCCTTGAACCCAGGAGGCGTCGGCTGCAGTGAGCCAAGATTGAGACACTGCCTCCAGTCAGGGCAACAGAACGAGACTGTCTCACAAAAAGAAAAGGAAAAGACTGTGGGAGCATCTGGTGAGAAGTGCTGGAGGGAGAGAGGAGAGGAACTGTGGGTTTGGAAGCTGCGCCCTCCCCCCCAGCAGTGCATTGAAGCAGGAACACAGTTCTGTGGAGAACAACCTTACCTTGTCGGACACCCTCAGATCTTTGTCCCAGGCCAGGAATCTTTTAACGACAGGATCCTCTGTGATTAGAGAGCAGATGTCAGCATGAGAAGCAGGACAGGGTTTCTGTGGGAGCAGCAGGGCAGCAAGGAGAAGTGTGTCTCCCTGGGGGAAATCTCAGGATTGCTGCCACAAGTGAGGTGGATGGGAGAGGGGAGAATGACTTTCACTGGGCAAGGAAGAGAGGCTCCTGCTCTGAGACTCGCCTGAGAAGAGGCCGAAGGAGGCCTAGGGTGTGAGAATCTACAGGATGTAGAGCTGGCCATAAGCCAGAACGCCCTCCCAGCAGACACAGAGGGACCACTGCACAGTCATAAAGGAATTCCCATCATTTCCTCATGAGACAGTCACATCAGGGTGTGACCATGGCCTAGGTATCCCCCTCTACGGATGGAGACACTTAGGTTTAGAAAAGTCAGCAAGAGACAATAAGTTTTAGAGGGCACAGCTGAAGCCACTTTCTTTGATTTTTTATTTTGTTTTATAAATTTATTTATTTATTTATTTATTTATTTTGAGCTGGAGTCTCGCTTTGTGGGCCAGGCTGGAATGTAGTGGCACGATCTCAGCTCACTGCAACCTCAGCCTCCCGGGTTCAAGCGATTCTCCCATCTCAGTCCCCTGAGTAGCTGGGATTACAAGCATGTGCTACCACACCTAGCTAATTTTGTATTTTTAGTAGAGATCAGGTTTTACTATGTTGGTCAGGCTGGTCTCTAACTCCTGACCTCAGGTGATCCACCAGCCTCAGCCTCCCAAAGTGCTAGGATTACAGGTATGAGCTACTGCGCCTGGCCTTGCTTTTTCTTTTGAGACAGAGTTTTGCTCTGTCACCCAGGCTGGAGTGCAGTGGTGCCATCATAGCTCACTGCAGCCTCAAAGTCCTGAGTTCAAGCAATCCTCTTGCCTCAGTCTCCCAACATGGTGGGATCTCAGGCATGAGCCACCGCACTTGGCCCAAAACCAAGATTTCTTATCCCAAGCACTGACCTAATCCTAATCTTCTATCGTCTCCTAAGCGTCCCTTATGAGTGATCACTTCTGAGTCCTCCCGCATGGAGAGCTCACCCACTGGGGGCATATTTTTCCCATTGGAAAAGTGTGGTTATTGGAAGTTGCCTCTTTTTTAGAATATCAGGACTGGAGGTGCTCTCTGGGGTGTCCTCCTACCAAGCAGTCTGTTGAAAGTCTCGTGGTGCTCAGGGAGCATGCATGACAATCGCCATCGCTTCAGCTTCATCTTGAGCCCACACACTGTCTCCGCCTCCCAGGTCTCCTCAGGCTCAGGGGTGAGCTCCTTCTCTGGCTCCTCCTCCGATGACTCCTCAGATTCGTCCGACCACTCCCTCTTCCTTTTCCAGCAAAGGGACCTACACGGGGGACTGGGATCTACCCCAGGGGCTGAGTAAAGAAACCATGCCACTGTGTAATGCTTCTGCAATTGATCACCTTAGAGCCTGACCCAAAATGCCAAACCACTCTCCATCCTCCCCAGCCCCCAGACTGCTGGCTTCTCCAAGGCATCTTTCTGTCTTTCTCCTTCGCTGAACCCCATGAGCCGCTCCTTCGCCTCTCCAAAACGCCAAACCACTCTTCATCCTCCCCAGCCTCACAGACTGCTGGCTTCTCCTCACTGCAACCTCCGTCTCCCAGGTTTCAGTGACTCTCCTGCCTCAGCCTCCCAAGTAGCTGGGATTACAGGTGCTTGTCATAACGCCCAGCTCATTTTTGTACTTTTAGTAGAGACAGGGTTTCGCCATGTTGGCCAGGCTGGTCTCTAACTCCTGGCCTCAAGTGATCTGCCTGCCTTGGCCTCCCAAAGTACTGGGATTACAGGTGTAAGCCACAGACCCTGCCTCAGTCCCTCCGTTCTTCCCACACACCTCCTCAAGTGCTCCTTCCTGACTTCTGGACCTGTCCTTTTCTTTTTCTTTTTTTTTTTTTTTTTTTTTGCCACAGGGTCTCAATCTCTCCCTCAGACTGGAGTGCAGTGGTGCTATCTTGGCTCAAAGCAACCTCCACCTCCCGGGTTCTAGTGATTATCCTGTCTCAGCCTCCCAAGTAGCTGGGAATACAGGCGTGCACCACCACGCCCGGCTAAGTTTTGTATTTTTGGTATTGACGAGGTTTCTCTATATTGGTCAGGCTGGTCTCAAACAACTGACCTCAGGTGATCCACCCGCCTCAGCCTCCCAAAGTGCTGTGATTACAGGCGTGAGCTACTGCACCCGGCCTTTGGTTTTCTTTTGAAACAGGGTTTTGCTCTGTCATGCAGGCTGGAGTGCAGTGGTGCAGTCATAGCTCACTGCAGCCTCAAAGTCCTGAGTTCAAGCAATCCTCTTGCCTCAGCCTCCCAGTGTGCTGGGATCTCAGGCATCAGCCACCACACCTGGCCCAAAACCAAACTTTCTCTTTTTTTTTTTTTTTGGTTGTTGTTGTTGTTGTTTTGAGACGGAGTCTCGCTCTGTCACCCAGGCTAGAGTGCAGTGATGCGATCTCGGCTCACTGCAAGCAACACCTCCGGGGTTCATGTCATTCTCCTGCCTCAGCCTCCCGGGTAGCTGGGACTACAGGCACCTGCCACCATGCCCGGCTAATTTTTTGTATTTTTAGTAGAGACTGGGTTTCACCATGTTAGCCAGGATGGTCTTGATCTCCTGACCTTATAATCTGCCCACCTCGGCCTCCCAAAGTGCTGGGATTACAGGCGTGAGCCACAGTGCCCAGCCCAAAACCAAGCTTTCTTATCCCAAGCGCCAACCTTTATCAAGTCCAGCCTAATCCTCTATCATCTCCTAAGCGTCCCTCATGAGTGATCACTTCTGAGTCCTCCCGCATGGAGAGCTCACCCACTGGGGGCATATTTTTCCCATTGGAAAAGTGTGGTTATTGGAAGTTGCCTCTTTTTTAGAAGAACAGGATTGGAGGTGCTCTCTGGGGTGTCCTCCTACCAAGCAGCCTGTTGAAGTCCTCGTGGTGCTCAGGGAGCACAGACGACACTAGCTGTTGCTTCAGCTTCAGCTTCAGCTTCATCTTGAGCCCACACAGCGTCTCCATCACCCAGGTCTCCTCAGGCTCATGGGCGAGCTCCTCCTCTGGCTCCTCCTCCGATGACTCCTCAGATTTGTCCGACCACTCCCTCTTCCTTTTCCAGCAAAGGGACCTACATGGGGGGCTGGGATCTACCCCAGAGGCTGAGTGAAGAAACCAGGCCACCGTGTAATGCTTCTGCAACTGATTACCTTAGACCCTGACCCCAAACCCCAAACCCCAAACCACTCTCCATCCTCCCCAGCCTCAGAGACTGTTAGCTTCTCCAAGCCATCTTTCTGACTTTCTCCTCTGCTCAACCCCATGTCCTGCTTCTTCCCCTCCCCATTATTCCGACTTTCTGTCCTCAGAACACTTCCTCATGTCCTTCCCTGATCCCTGGCTCTCTGAGTCCCTCCTTTGTTTTTTGTTTTTGTTTTGTTGTGTTTTTTGTTTTGAGACAGAATCTTGCTTTGTCACCCAGGCTGGAGTGTAGTGGTGCAATCTCAGCTCACTGCAACATCTATCTCCCAGAGTCCAGTTATTCTCCTGCCTCAGCCTCTCGGGTAGCTGGGATTACAGGTGCCTGCCATAATGCCCATTTTTGTACTTTTAGTAGAGACGGGGTTTCACCATTTTGGCCAGGCTGGTCTCAAACTCCTGGCCTCAAGTGATCCGCTTGCCTTGAGCCTCCCAAAGTGCTGGCATTACAGGTGTGAGCCACTGCACCTGGCCTGAATTTCTCCATTCTTCCCACACACCCTCCTCAGGTTCTCCTTCCTGACCTCTGACCCTTCTTTTTTTTTTTTGGAGACAGTGTCCAACTCTCTCACCCAGATTGGAGTGCAGTAGCGCAATCTCGGGTCACTGCAACCTCTTCCTCCCAGGCTCAGCGATTCTCCTGTCTCAGCCTCCCAAGTAGCTGGGATTACAGGCGTGCACCACTACCGCCTGGCTAATTTTTGTACTTTCAGTAGAGATGAGGTTTCACCATGTTGGCCAGGCTGGTCTTGAACTCCTGACCTCAGGTGATCCACCCACCTCAGCCTCCCAAAGTGTTGGGGTTACAGGTGTGAGCCACTGCACCCAGCCCCCTTCCTTCATCTTAGTCAACCCTATCCCACCTCTTCTTCCTCCAGTCACCTCACCTGATGGTCCCGACACTTCATTATCTACCACCTCCTGGCGGGGGTACCCTGAGGTACTCAGCTGGGGGCTCTGCTCCTCATCCTGGGGGTGCGGTTGACAGCTGGTCATGATCTTTCCAAAATCTGTCCCAACCCACAGAACCTAGTCTCTGTTCTGTCCAAAGCCGCCTTCTGGACTCTGCTAGGACCTGGAAGAGTGTATTATCAATTCTTGAGGCTAGGAGAAGTCAGGAGTGGAGAACAGCTCTGAGAAGATGCTGTTGTCCACCTGAGCTCCCAGGTGCCAACGGAGGCCGGTCCTTCCAATCAGGAAGGTTGGAATCTCTGATGTCATCGGTCATTCCAACCTGGCAACCAGTTTGAAGAAAAACACATGTAACTGCCAAGCTGATCTCTTGTCCTGGAGATCCTGGGTGAATGGATGGTACCTCCTGCCACTGTCCCAACCTCAGACCACTGTCCAAAAGCATCATCAGGGTCTCCGCATCCCTCTGTTCCCTGTCCCAGCAGAGGCTGTGTCCTCTCCACGCAAAGCCTGAAGCATGTTGGGGTCTCCTCTGTACATGCCCATTTCAGAGACCAGTCTGGTAGGAGAGGGAACAGGGTGGGAAAGAAAACTAGGGTAAGCAGAAACTATGAAACTTTACAAGAGTGAGATTATCATGTACAAGAGATCCCAAGAACATTGACTTGATGAAAAAGTCACATCAGAGCACTCAATTTGTCACTTTTCTGCCAAATGTTTACTGACTTTCGCTGTCTGAGATTCTATACTGGGGGTACATATGTCCTCTGCCCTAAGGCATCTTTGAGTCCAAGAGACACTTTGAGGCCTGAAAATCATAGGAAACTGCCCTTGAGCTCACACATGTTTCCAATGGTGTCCGCAATTTCAGGGAGTCCATGGATTACCTAAAGCCAGCCCCTCCAGTTTGGCTAAGAAATTAGTCTGTATATCAAGTTTTGTATCATATGTATTGCTCTGAACTCAGAAATTTCCCTACCATTTATGGATGCTATGAATAAAATATCCCATGTACAAAAAAACTAAATCGAAAAATCTCAACTGTGCACAGTGGCTCATGCTTGTAATCCCAGCACTTTGAATGGCCAAGGGAGGAAGATTGCCTCAGGCCAGCAGTTCAAAACCAGTGTAGGCAACATAGCAAGACCCCATCCCTAAAAAAACAAAACCAAACCAAATTAGACAGGTGTGGTGGCTGGCACCTGTGTTCCAACTACTTGGGAGACTCATGCGACAGGAAGATCGCTTGAGCCCAGGAGTTAGAAGCTGCAGTGAGCTATGGTCTTGCCACTGCACTCGAGTCTGGGCAACACAGCAAGACATTGTGTCAAAAACATTTTTTTTTTTTTGATAAAAAATAAAAGAGTTGCATGATATTCAGAGACTATCCAAAAAACCTGTGGGTTCCTGGCCGGGCTCAGTGGCTCATGCCTATAATCCCAGCACTTTGGGAGGCCAAAGAGGGTGGATCACTTGAGGTCAGGAGTTTGAGACCAGGCTGGCCATCTCTACTAAATATACAAAAAATTAGCCAGGCATGGTGGCAGGTGCCTGTAATCCCAGCTACTCAGGAGGAGGGGCTGGAGAATCACTTAAACTCAGGGTGCAGAGGTTGTAGCGAGCCAAGATCACATCATTGCACTCCAGCCTGGGCAACAAGAGCAAAACTCCATCTCAAAAAAAATAAGGAACCTGTGAGTAAGTTCCCACACGGTTTCCTAATGGGCTCCGGCTCTCCTAGGAGTCTCTCGCTCCTGGGAAAGGCACAGACTGAACGAGGAAGCTCTGCTTTTCTGGAGTTCAAATTTGCATTCATGATGCTTTAACCCGTCAGAGCTGGGTGGGTCCTCCTACAACAAAACAGTTTGCTATCTCTCTCCTAGTTAGCAGGCTTTCAAATATTAGAAGATCAATGTTCTGACCCCATTAAAATTTCTCTTGTGGAATGAAAAGCTCTGATTTAACCCGTCTTCAAGCCTGGTGTGCATATTCCTCTCTCTTCTGGCACACCACCATGCCTGGTTCAATTTTGTATTTTTTTGATAGGGACAGGGTTTCGCCATGTTGCCGAGGCTAGTCTCGAACTCCTGGTCTCAAGAAGTGCTAGGATTAGAGGCACGAGCCACCACGCCAGGCCAAGGCTATTATTCTGACTTAGGGGTTTTTGTTTGTTTCATTTTGTTTTTCCTACAGAGTCATTATTTCTTCAATAGATACATCTCAAAGCAGAAGCTGGCTAAGATCATCCTGGAACTTCAAATTTCCTAACATCAGAGATGCAATAGAACTTTGGACAAATAGAGTGTGGTCTCTATACAGCTGGTGCCAGAACTGCATAACCCAGGTATGGATGTGACATCCCTGTTTTCAGCACTATCGTTCTTCTACACACTTGGTGTTTATATACGTATGTGCTCAAGTCAGTCCAACCCTCAAGCTAAACTCAGATAAGATGAAATTATTGAGTCATGCCTGCCTTTGCTTCTATAAAACATACATCAAGTCACTTTCTGGTTCCTGTTTTCTTGTCCTTATCATATTACTCATAGGACTCAGAATTGTTTATTATTAATTTCAGAGTTTAGAAGTATTGAAAGACACCATCTTTCCATCTCGTATCTACCACCGAGAACTTTACAGTCTAAAACAACAGTTCTGCATTTTGGAAAGTAAATTATGCAAGCTCCAGGAAGCACTGAAGGTTGGTATTGTCAAATAAAAAAGCAAATCTGGAATTAGGTAAGAAGACACTTTATTTGAAAAGACTATTGCAATAGGGAAAATGCTCAAGTCATAAGATTTATATCTCAAACATTAAGCGAAAAAGTTTTCTTTGTTAGCAAGGAATAAAAGGGTAGAACAAATTGGGTTATGGGGAAGTAAGATGAAGAGTTGGGATAATCTGATTAGACAGCTGATTAGATCAGGGAACGTCTTTTCCTGAAGGTTGTTCAGCATACCAATGCTTGCTTAAGCCCAAGAATAGGTCAAGGTTCTAGGGCCTATGGGGAGGACTAAATCCTGACTAAAGTTTGGTCAAGTTAGTAGATGTTTTGTCCAGATTGGTCAGTGGCAGTGAGCAATTCAGCTAATCACTTATGAGACAAAGAACGGGAATTTGGAGGGTCTGTGTCTGGCTTTGTCAGATAAACAAGGGAGCCATCCATAAATCTTATCTAACTGATGTGGGAAAAGTTGGTTCCACATCGCTTCCAAAATAGTAAATTATTTCCTAGACATAAAACTGTAGGGAGATTTGTTTGTTTGTTTGTTTCTAGAGATGGGATCTCATTATGTTGCCCAGGCTAGACTCCAACTCCTAACTCCTGGGCTCAAGTGATCCTCCTACCTCAGCCTCCTTTGGTAGCTGGGACTGCAGGCTTGGATGGGGAGATTTTTTGGCCATCCTTATCTTCCAGAATCGCAGAGCTCAGGTAAAGTTCAATATTGTCAGTATCAAAGCAGAAGATCTGAAAAAAATATTGCCTGCTCTTTGCTTTTTTTTTTTTTTTTAATAGACAGGGTCTCACTCTGTCACCCAGTCTAGTGTGCAGTGGCATGATGATGGCTCACTGCAACCTTGACCTCCTGGCTCAAGGGATCTTCCTGCCTCAGCCTCCCTTATAGCTGGGACCAGAAGTGTGTGCCACCTACCCAGCGAATTTTTTTATTTTTTGTAGGGATGGGGGTCTCACTTTGTTGCCCAGGCTGGTCTCAAACTCCTGGCCTCAAGTGATCCCCCTACCTCAGCCTCCCAACGTGTTGGGATTGCAGGCATGAGCCATGGCACCTGGCTTGTTTGTAAATTTAAATAATCAGACATAAAAATAAAAATTTATGCACAGCAAAATAAGATGCAAAAGGCTGGGCGCGGTGGTTCACGTCTGTAATCCCAGCACTTTGGGAGGCTGAGGCAGGTGGATCACCTGAGGTCAGGAGTTCGAGACCAGCTAGCCAAGATGGTGAAACCCTGTCTCCACTAAAAATACAAAAAAAAAAAAAATTAGCCAGGTATAGTGGTGCATGCCTGTAATCTCAGCTACTGGGGAGGCTGAGGCAGGAGAATCGCTTGAACCCAGGAGGCGCAAATTGCAGTAAGCAGAGATCATGCCACTGCAGTCCAGCTTGGGCAACACAGCGAGACCATGTCTCAAATAAAATAAAATAAAATAAGATGCAAAAATATTTGCTCAAATATGAGGAAAACAATTAATTATTGAATATATAAAGAACCAATACAAATCAATACAAAAAAGACCAATAACTTAGCAGTAAAATAAGGAAATTATATGAATACAGCATTCACCTAAATATAGGAATACAAGCCAGGTACAGTAGTGCACACTTATCATCCCAGGTACTCAAGAAACTGAGATGGGAGAATCACTTGAGCACAGAATTTTGAGGCCATCCTGGGCAGAAAGAAAAGGAATACAAATGGTTCTTAAATACATGAGTAGGGCTGGGCACGGTGACTCATGCTTGTAATCCCAGCAGTTTGGGAGGCCAAAACGGGCAGATCATCTGAGATCAGGAAAATCACTTGAACCCAGGAAGTGGAGACTGCTGTGAGCCGAGATGGTGCCACTGCTCTCCAGCCTGGGTGACAGAGCTAGACTCTGTCTCAAAAATAAAATTAAATTAAAATAAAATAAATAAATACATGAGTAGGTACTCAACTTCACTTAAGAGTGAATCAGGGGCTTACCCCTGTAATCCCACCACTTTGGAAGGCCGAGGTGGGTGGATCACTTGAAGTCAGGAGTTCAAGACCAGCCTAGCCAATGTGAAACCCCCTCTCTACTAAAATACAAAAATTAGCTGGATGTGGTAGTGCATGCCTATAATCCCAGCTACTCAGAGGGCTGAGGCAGGTGAATTGCTTGAACCCGGGAAGCGGAGGTTGCAGTGAGCTGAGATCGCACCACTGCACTCTAGCCTGGGCAACAGAGCGAGACTCCATCTCAAGAGTAAATCACGGCTGGGTGCTGTGGCTCACGCTTGTAATCCCAGCACCTTGGGAGGTCAAGGTGGGCAGATCACTTGAGGTCAGGAGTTTGAGACCAGCCTGGCCAACATGGTGAAATCCTGTCACTACTAAAAATACAAAAATTAGCCAGGTGTGATGGCGGGTACCAGTAATCCCAGCTACTCAGGAGGCTGAGGCAGGAGAAGCACTTGAACCCGGGAGGCAGAGGTTACGGTGAGCCGAGATTGCACCACTGCACTCCAGCCAGGGTGACAGAATGAGACTCTATTTCTTTTTTTTTTTTTTTTTTGAGACGGAGTCTTGCTCTGTAGCCCGGGCTGGACTGCAGTGGCCGGATCTCAGCTCACTGCAAGCTCCGCCTCCCGGGTTTACGCCATTCTCCTGCCTCAGCGTCCGGAGTTGCTGGGACTACAGGCGCCCGCCACCTCGCCCGGCTAGTTTTTTGTATTTTTAGTAGAGACGGGGTTTCACCGTGTTAGCCAGGATGGTCTCGATCTCCTGACCTCATGATCCGCCCGTCTCGGCCTCCCAAAGTGCAGGGATTACAGGCTTGAGCCACCGCGCCCGGCGAGACTCTATTTCAAAAAAAAAAAAAAAAAAAAGGTGAATCAGGACTAGGTGTGGTACCAGTGACAGGCCTCAAAGAATATTTGCATAAACAAAATGTCTTTATTTTAGGCAGCAGAAAGAAAAAGTTATCCTACTACCCCCATTAAGGCAACTTCCCAAACTCATTTACAGAACTTTTACTTATATCTCATTTCGCTAAAACATAGTCATGTATTTAATTATACCTAGTCACTAGGGAACCTGAGGAATGTAATCTATCATCTGGATTACAGTGTGTCCAGCTAAAAGTCAGGTTTCCTATTACTAAAGAAGAAGGCAAAAATGTATATTGGGAGGCAATTAGTAGTCTCTGCCACACACAAAAAACAGAAATGCAAAATAAACTTCAATGAGTAATGCCTTTAGCCTATCAGATTGACAGAACAAACAAATCAAAGACCAAAAGTTTTGGAGAAATAGGTGCTTTCTTGTTATTGAGAATGCCGTAAATTGATAAAACCTCTATGGGCTATAATTAGTGAACATCTATCAACATTTTAAAAATATATATCATTTGACGCAACCAAATTTTGTACATATGTACGAAGTGATTTATTGCAGTGTGATTTGAAAAATAGTGAAAACAAAAAACAAAACTAAGTGTCAAAGAATATGGGATTAATTGACTGAGTTATAATCCGTTCATTCAGTGGAATACTATGTAGCTGTTAAAAAGAATGAGGTAGTTCTGTATGTACTAATGAGGTATGATCTCAAGAATATACCATCAGTCCCCTACCCCCTAGGAAAACTTTTTTTTAAAGAATACACTAATGGCCAGGCATGGTGGCTCACGCCTGTAATCCAGCACTTTGAGAGGCCAAGGTGGATGGATCACTTGAGGCCAGGAGTTTGAGACCAGCCTGGCCAACATGGCAAAACCCCATCTCTACTAAAAGTACAAAAAATTAGCCTGGCATGGTGACACGCTCTTATAATCCCAGCTGCTCCACAGGCTGAGGCAGGAGAATCACTGGAACCTGGGAGACAGATGTTGCAGTGAGCTGAGATCACGCCACAGCACTCCAGCCTGGGCAACAGAGCATGACTGTGTCTCAAAATAATAACAATAATAATACACTATTAAATTAAATGTAAAGGTATATTCAGAACAGTGTTTATAGGATGTTCCCATGTATTATTAAAATATATAACTTTGGGAGGCCAAGGTGGTTGGATCACTTGAGGTCAGCAGTTCAAGACCATCCTGGCCAACATGATGAAACCTCCTCTCTACTAAAAACACAAAAATAGCCAGGCATGGTGGCACATGCCCGTAGTCCTAGCTACTCAGGAGGCTGAGGCAGGAGAATCGTTTGAACCAGGAGGCGGAGGTTGCAGTGAGCCATGATCATGCCACTGCACCCCAATCTGGGTGACAAAGCGAGACTCTGTCTCAAAAAAATATTATTTGAGACCAAAAAAGGAATAGAATAATTGTTTTTGTTTGAAACAAAGTCTCGCTCTGTCACCCAGGCTAAAGTATAGTGGCATGATCTCAGCTCACTGCAACCTCTGCCTTCTGGGTTCAAGCAATTCTTCTGCCTCAACCTCCTGAGTAGTCGGGACTACAGGTTCCTGCCACCACACCAGGCTAATTTTTGTATTTTTAGTAGAGACGGGATTTCACCATGTTGCCCAGGCTGGTCTTGAACTCCTGACCTCAAGTGATCTGCCTGCCTCGGCCTCCCAAAGTGCTGGGATTCTAGACATGAGCCACCACACCAGGCCTAAATAAAATTATTGAGACTAGGTGGGACTCCAAAAATAAATAGCAAAAAAATTAAACATAAAATAAAACTAATTGACCAGTTGAGATTTTGGTTCCAGAAGTAAATTCATTGCTTTTTTGAATTCCTATAATTTTACAACTTTGTCAGAGCAGTTTACCGTGGGTGACAAGGCAGTATTCAAACAGACCTTAAAAATTAAATTTTTTAGCTGGGCGTGGCATACACACCTATAGTCCCAATTACTCAGGGGACTGAGGTGGGAGGATTCCTTGAGCCTCAGGACACTCCAGCCCATTGCATTCTAGCCTGGGCAACATAGTGAGACCCTGTCTCTAAAAAAAAGTTTTCTTTTAATTTAAAAAGTCTAGAATGAATGTGTGTGTGTATGTGTGAAATAATTCTATAAACCTTTCCTTCTCTTCTTCACCTCTGGTGTACACACTCTACGTTTCATGACTTTTCTCCTATTTCAGCTCTTCTTATATTTTAACCCCAAATCACTAATCCCAATGTACCAGGGAGGATGATGATATAGAACTAAGAATGGGCCAGGCATGGTGGCTCACACCTGTAATCCCAGCACTTTGGGAGGCTGAGGCAGGCAGATCCCAAGGTCAGGAGATCGAGACCATCCTGGCCAACAAGGTGAAACCCCGTCTCTACTAAAAATACAAAAAAATTAGCTGGGCGTGGTGTCACACACCTGTAGTCCCAGCTACTCAGGAGGCTGAGGCAGGAGAATCACTTGAACCCAGGAGGTAGAGGTTGCAGTGAGCCAAGATCATGCCACTGCACTCCAGCACTCCAGCCCTCCAGCCTGGGCGACACAGCAAGACTCCATCTCAAAAAAAAAAGAAAAAAGTGAACTAACAATGAAGCTTATGTTATTTCCTTCACTAAGAAAGCGCCTAAAAGGCTGTATCAGTCAAAATTCTTTTTAGCCACAAGTGACAGAAACACAATGCAACCCGGCTTAAGCCCATAAAACCAGTAAGTCTAAGGTATGGCTGGATTCAGGGACTCGAATGATATTGTCAGCATCCTGGCTCTGTCTGATCTTTCAGTTCTGCCTTCTTTACAATAAGTTTATTTCTCAGACAGACTCTCCCCTTGCACTAGCAACATGGTTGCTGGCAGCCTTAGATTCTTATTCTCATAACAGAACAATCTCAGCTGAGACAACTTGCCCTGGGTCATGTGTCTAGTCCTTGAGTGAGTATCCTGACCAGATCAGGTGGACTGAGGGAGAGAAGGAAAACCCAGGTGCTTTTACCAGAAGTAGGAATGGCTACAGGTGAGGGCTAGTCCCTGGGCCTGTTTACCCCACTTCAGAAGCTCTGCTCTATATTGCTGGGAGGGCTGGCTCCTACAGGATACATTCCTCAAGTTCCAGGTCACTCGGTTCCTGGTTATGATGGCCTATTGTGAGACATTGATGAGAGACTATAGGGAGGGAGAAGACAAGGAGTTTCTTCGCCTCCTCTTTACTGCATGATTTCTCCAGCAATGGTAGTTGTTGCCTTCTGGCCCCATCTCCCACTGGATAAATACTCCATGTTTCTTCTTCTTCTTCCTATTTTTTTTTTTTTTTGAGACAGAATTTCACTCTGTCGTCCAGGCTGGAGTGTAGTGGCACGATCTCGGCTCACTGCAACCTCCACCTCCCAGGTTCAAGCGATTCTCCTGCCTCAGCCTCCCAAGTAGCTGGGATTACAGGTGCCTACCACCACGCCTGGCTAATTTTTGTGTTTTTAGTAGACGAGGTTTCACTGTGTTGTCTAGGCTGGTCTTGAACTCCTGACCTCAGGTGACCCACCTGCCTTGGCCTCACAAAGTGCTGGGATTACAGACGTGAGCTACCGCACCCAGCCAATGTTTCCTGATTCTCTGGGTAAACCTGCCTCCAGACATCTGGATACACTGCCTCCACCTTTTGTTTCTCCAGCCTCAGGATGTTAATGCCTTCCTGCTGTTGCTAATCTCTAGATTGCCTCACGGTACCCCGTGGGCCTCTCAGCTCTTCCGTTATAAATGTAACCAAGTGCCTGTATTACATGACCCCTCTTTTCAATATCCAGAGTGGTTTCTATTTTCCTGACGGATATGTATAGGAAAATATCCACTCCAAACTCCTCTAAGAAAGGCCCCTGTGTCTCAACATCGTGCTCATTGGTCTGGAGAGAAGCTTCTGGAATTCCATTCCTGCTCCCAGAATTTGTGCCTCACGATGAATTAGCCAAAGGAGAAAAAGGCAAGTCATTTAACTCCTCTGGGCCTCAGTTTCCTCATCTATACATTGGGGATGATACCATTTGTGGGGGACTGAATGCATGGCAGCCTCCAAAAGGTATATTCAAGTCCTAATCCCCAGACCCTGTAAATACAGCCTTATTTGGACAAAGGGCTTTACAAATGTAATTAGGGTAAGGATTTTGAAATGAGGAGATCTTCCTGGATTATCCAGGTGGACCCTAAGTCCCAGGACAAGTGCCCTTATGAGAGAGACACATAGAGAATGCATACAGAGAAGAGAAGCAATGTGACCATAGAGATAGAGATTGGAGTGCTGTAGCCACAAACCAAGGAGTGCTGACAGCTACCAGAAGCCAAAAGAGGCAAGGAACCAGTTCTTCCCCAGAGGCATGGGAGGCAGTGAAGCTCCACTGACACCTTGATGTCAGACTTTATGCCTCTAGCACTGTGAGAAAATAAACTTCAATTGTTTTCAGCCACTAAGTTTGGGATAATTTGTTACAACAGGCACAGGGAATGAATACACTGTTTTACTGCATAGGGTCATTGTGTTTGTTTGCTAGAGCTGCCATAACAAAATACCACAGGGTGGGTGGCTTATACAACAGAAATTTATTTTCTCACAGTCTGGAAGCAAGAGGTCTGTGGCTTCTTGGTTAGTTTCTTCTGAGGCTCCTCCTGGGCTTGTAGATGGCTGTCTTCGCTCTATCTTCACACAGTCTTTCCTCTGTGTAAGTACATTCCTGATGTCTCTCTGCATGTCCGATTTCCTCTTACTATAAGAACACCAGTTAGAATGGATTAGGACCCATCCTAACGTCCTCATTTTAACTTAATCACCTCTTTAAAGACCCTATCTCCAAATATAGTCACATTCTGAGGTTCTGGATGTTAAGATTTCAACATACGAATTCTGGGACACAATTCAGTCCACAGTAGTCATGTTCCAGATCCTTGGCCTTTATCAGTTTCTTGAATGTACTATATTCTTGGCTGCATTAAGTATTTTTTCGTCTGCAAGGAACTCTTCCCCTAGTCTTTATCTCCCTTCATCTGCTAAGTCTCAATTTATTCTTGAGATCATGGCTAAATATCACTTCCCAAGCCTCCAGCTGTTCATGCTCATAGCACACTTCATTGCTCTTATTGAAGTATTGTTTTGTTTTGAGTGTGTTTTTGCATCTTTGTTTGAGATGAGATCTCACTATGTTGTCCAGACTGGTCTCGAACTCCTGGACTCAAGCAATTCGCTGGATTCAGCCTTCCAAAGTGCTGGGATTACAGGTGTGCACCACCATTCCCGGCCTTCTGTGCATGTTTAATGTCTGTCTTCCCTCACCGGACTGTCAGCTCCATGAGGTGACACACAGGGCTCACACTGTACTTATGGTGCCTGGCATATAGCACATACAAAATAAACGAATGAATGAAATGAAGAAACTTATGATTATAAATGAGAAAATATCATGAAGCACATGGTACACTGAGAAAGCATTCAATACATGGTAGCTATTATTTTGATGACTGTCACCCTCAAGAATCAAATTAACTTGTTATTTATTTGCCAAATGTGATGTCTTCTTCCAGACCATCTCAGAAAGTTCTTCCTGTCCAAGCTGTGGTCAAACATGTCACATGAGTGGTAAACTTACAAATGTGCCTGCCTGTGTTCTCATGACCCCTGGAGACTCCAAAGCTGTGCTTCCTCCCACACTGCCGCAGCCAGCCAGCCATCTTCCTCCTCCTCCTCCTCCACCTCCACCTCCACCTCCACTTCCACCTCCGCCACCTCCTCGACCACCAGTAGCACCTGTGTTGCTCAGAAAACCCAGTCTTGCTAAAGCACTTCAGGTAGGTAACAATCTAGTAATGATATGTTTTAGTCAGTGTGTAATATAGCAGTAAAGCCAAGTAGCCTTTTAAGACCAGGCTAATCAGGGCTTGGGCCGGAAGGCTATATTTTGTTCTGATTCCATATCTTAATTATTATGTTTTTAAAATCTCAGTCCCTGAGGAATTCCTAGAAGCTGGATTGAGAAATGAAAGTGATGTGTGTGAAACCCAGTAGAGTGGAAGATTCCTATTCACTTCTCAGCATGGCTTTTTCCTAGGGAAGAAAACCTCCCTAGGAAACCAAATTAAAAATAGAAGATTGCTTAGTGAGTGAAGTCAGAACAAAGAGTTAGTGGATTCCAAAGTTTCATGTCGTTAGGCTGGAAAATCAATCTCTATTTCAGTTACTTATTTACCAAGGGGACCAGAAAATTTGTGAATCACTAAGACAGGCATGACCCTGTTTTAAAATCTGCTGAATTTTCACTAGGATACATTTGGTTTAATGTAGCTGAATTAAATCCAGAGTCTTCCCAATCTTGACACCAAAAAAAAACCCCGGAGCCTATCGTTATATTTGCCCTAATTATATCTCTGTTATTGTATACATTCTTGCTCTATGGAAACTGAGTCATCTTTCTAGGTAATTCAAGGAAAACTTCACTTTAACCCCATTAACTCCTTCAACTCTTGTCTTATTGTAATGACTCCTGCGGAAAATGCATTATTGCAGGAAACTGGTTCATCTCTTATTTGTTAGCAAAGCCTTAGCTTATAAAAACGAATTGGGGGAGGGGTAGGAAGCCTTACATTTTGATGAATACTTTTCAATGGGTGATAAAAACAGGATTATTCTTGGTTGAGTGGAAAGAATATGAAAGGTTCCTAGGGTCGATAAGAGTTACCTCTTAACTCTGAGTCTTTAAAAACTAGATTTGGATTTGCATTTCACCAGTTGTGCTGGTTCCAATTTAAATTCTTACCTCACCATGTATTTCAAGGCTGGACCATTAAAAAAAGATGGACCCATGCAGATAACAGTTAAAGATCTGCTGACCGTAAAATTAAAGAAGACACAGAGTGTAGATGAAAGGAGGAAGGTAAGATGTCATTGACCATATACATGTTCTTTTTGCTTTTAACCTTGTTGTCCCATTCTGGAAAATAAACATAAGCCTTATGTATAGAAGTCATTCCAGGCAGGGTGAGTGGCTTGTGCCTATAATCCCAGCACTTTGGGAGACCAAGGTGGGAGGATCACCTGAGCCCAGGAGTTCAAGACCAGCCTGGGGAACATGGCAAGACCTCATTTCAATTTTTATAAAACTGGGGGGGGGGGGGGGGGGGCTGGGGGGAGAAGTCATTTCATTTCAAGTTAAGTTTGTTATGTTTTTATTTTATAGTTTTGGATTTCCCAACAAAATGTGTATATTAGAAAATGATTTAATTAGGCAATTTTATCTCCCAACCGTTCATCTGAAGAGGTAGAGACATCCTTTGAAGCTCTGGAATAAAAATTGGGTAGAATAGTGGATGTATCTTACACATACTCAGCACTCAGATATTTGCCATTTTTGCATGTTTACATTTTGAGTGATATTTTAAAATTTGTTTTAATAATGTCTCATTTTATAATTAAAGCTTATACCATCGCCGAAAGCACGGAATCCACTAGTTACTGTCTCTGACTTGCAGCGTGTTACCCTGAAACCTAACTCCAAAGTGTTATCAACTCGAGTTACAAATGTCTTAATGTAAGGAACTGCACAGTACTATGCTCTACTACTTCTTAAAAGAATGATATTGTCGTACGAGGGCCTAAAAAACGGGAAAACAAAATTTTTTGTGTGTATTTCTAATGTTAAAAGTTATATATGCTCATTATAGAAAAATTGAAATCTACAGAAAAGTTTAAAAAAGAAAACAAAAGTTATCTAAATAGTCCTATCATTGGAGATAGCCACTGTTAACATACTGCGGTTTATCATTCTAGTCTTTTTCTGGACATATGCTTTATTGCCCCATTTAAAGATGCTGTTTATTATAAGATACGCCATTGATTTAATGACAGATTTTGGGATAAAAAGATATACTATCAAGAATTTTAGGCTGGGTGTGGTGGGTTATGTCTGTAATCCCACCACTTTGGGAAGCCGAAGTGGGAGGATTACTTGAGGCCAGGAGTTTAAGACCAGCCTGGGCAACATAGTGAGAGTCCCATCTCTAAAAAAATTAATTAAATTAAAAATTAGCCTGATGTAGTGGTGTGTGCCTGTGGTCCCAGCTACTTGGAAGGCTGAAGAAAGAGGATCACTTGAGCCCAGGAGATCAAGGCTGCAGTGAGAAGTGATTATGCCACTGTACCCCAGCCTGGGCAACAGAGAGAGACTCCATCTCAAAAAAAAAAAAATGATAACCTAAATGTCTCAAGACAGGATTTTATCTGTGAAATTTACATGCAATGAACTGCATATTTTGAAGATGTCAAAATGAAACTTTAAGTTAATTTTCAAAAAGATGGGAAGAGTTCATGGTATATTGAATGGACAAAACTGTATCTACAATATGATTATACACAGACAGATACACACATATACCATATTTACTTGATTCCAAGATATACTAGTTTTCATATTATATAATTTCTGAAAGCAACCTGTTTTATTTTTTATTTTTTGTATTGTTTTATTTTTTGAGATGGAGTCTTGCTCTGTCACCCAGGCTGGAGTGCAGTGATGTGATATCGGCTCACAGCAACCTCCACCTCCCGGGTTCCGGCGATTCTCCTGCTTCAGCCTCCTGAGTAGCAGGGATTACAGGCGTGTGCCACAATGCCTGGCTAATTTTTATATGTTTTAATAGGGATGGGGTTTCACCATGTTGGCCAGGGTGGTCTCAAACTCCTGACCTCAAGTGACCCACCCCCCCTCAGCCTCCCAAAGTGCTGGCATTACAGGGGTGAGTCACTGTGCCTGGCTTAGGTTATGACATTTAATTTCTGTAAGTCTTCGTTAGACATCCGTGCCTATCAACTCTGTACATGGCTGAGTTTTTCCCTAGGATGGATTTTTATACATGTAACTCCTGGATCAAGAAGTATTATGTATTGGAATATCACCTTATGTTCCCATCAGCATCTACTGCTTTTTTTTTTTTTTTTTTTTTGAGAAGGAGTCTTGCTCTGTCACCCAGGCTAGAGTAGTGGCACAATCTCAGCTCACTGCAACCTCTGCCTCCCAGGTTCAAGCAATTCTCTGCCTCAGCCTCCCGAGTAGCTGGGATGACAGGTGCCCGCCACCATGCCCAGCTAATTTTCATATTTTTAATAGAGATGGGGTTTCATCATCTTGGCCAGGCTGCTCATGAACTCCTGACCTCATGATCCACCTGCCTCGGCCTCCTAAAGTGCTGGGATTACAGGCGTGAGCTACCACACCCAGCCTCTACTACAATTTTTTAATGTAACACATAGAACTACTTTCTCGGATGTTGCCTATAGAAATGATTGCTTTCCTTTGGGAAAAAATAATAAAAATAATAAAATCTGGCAAGTTCTAATTTTTATATCTTTGTTTTATCAGTACTCCTGGAAAAAGTCAGATGGATCTGCGGAAACTGCTTAGAAAAGTCGATGTAGAGAGGTAATACAGTCTCATATCTTTATGCCTTCTAAGTCCATTTTAAAAGTTGGCATAAAACACAGCTACTTTTATTTTCAATACCATTATAGGAGCCCAGGTGGAACCCCTCTTACCAACAAAGAAAATATGGAAACAGGAACAGGACTGACTCCAGTGATGACTCAGGCCTTAAGGAGAAAGTTTCAGGTAACCCTTTAGGAAAAGAATATTTGTTCCTTTGCTTGAAAATAAATTGGCCTGCCGGGCGCGGTGGCTCAAGCCTGTAATCCCAGCACTTTGGGAGGCCGAGACGGGCGGATCACGAGGTCAAGAGATCGAGACCATCCTGGTTAACACGGTGAAACCCCGTCTCTACTAAAAAATACAAAAAACTAGCCGGGCGAGGAGGTGGGCGCCTGTAGTCCCAGCTACTCGGGAGGCTGAGGCCGGAGAATGGCGTGAACCCGGGAGGCGGAGCTTGCAGTGAGCTGAGATCCGGCCACTGCACTCCAGCCTGGGCGACAGAGCTACACTCCGCCTCAAAAAAAAAAGAAAATAAATTGGCCTGGTGTGGTGGCTCATGACTGTAATCCTAACACTTTGGGAGGCTGAGGTGGGGGGATTGCTTGAGCCTAGCAGTTCAAGATGGGCAACATGGTGAAACTCTGTCTCTACAAAAAATACAAAAAATTAGCCAGGCCTGGTGGTGCATGCCTGTAGTTCCACCTACTTGGGAGGCTGATGTGGGAGGATCACTTGAGCCCAGGAGGTCAAGGCTGCAGTAAGCTGTGATTGCACCACTGCACTCCAGCCTGGGTGACAAAGAAAGACTGTGTCTCAAATAAATAATCATAATCATAATTTATGATCATAATTTAAAGCAGCTTTCTTAGTAATAATAATTTTTACATGGTACTGTATTTTGCAAAGTACTTTCATATTTAGGCTTCATAAAATTCTATAAAATATAGGTAGGATTGGCCAGGCACAGTGAGTGGCACATGCCTGTAATCTCAGCACTTTGGGAGGCCGAGGTGGGCAGATTACATGAGACCAGAAGTTCGAGACCTGCCTGGTCAACATGACGAAACCCTGCCTCCACCAAAAAAATACAAAAATGCTGGGCACGGTGGCTCACGCCTGTAATCCCAGCACTTCGGAAGGCCAAGGGTGATATAGCAAGACTCTGCCTTGACAAATAAATAAATAAATTGGGACTTTTTGTTTAATATATACAACTAACTCCTTTTTGTTTTTTTAGAATTTACAGATGAGGTCTCACTATATCTCCCAGGCTGGTCTCAAACTCCTGGGCTCATGTGATCCCCTTGTCTCAGCCTCCCAAAATGCTGGGATTATAAACGTGAGCCACCGTGCTCGGCCTACAACTCTCTTTTTTTTTTTTAATTTATTTTTTATTTCAATAGGTTTTTGGGTAACAGAAAGTGTTTGATTATACTAATTAGTTCTTTAGTGGTGATTTCTGAGATTTTGGCGCACCCATCACCCAGGCAGTGTACACTGTTCCCAATGTATAGTCTTTAATCCCTCACCCCACCCCACCCTTTCCCCCAAGTCCCCAAAGTCCACTGTATCATTCTTATGCCTTTGCATCCTCATAGCTTAGCTCCCGGACTTATTTTTTTTAATTTAAATATTTCTTTGGGAAGTAGGAAGTCCACAACTATAATACAGTGGTTTCACCATATAATCACTGTTCTTCCATCCTTAATGTGTGGTTTTTATCCTCTTAATACAAAATGGCTACATTTCCTGAAGCCTCATGTCCACATTCTAGGTAAGAGAAGGAGAAAGGCAAATGTTAGGTAAGCTATGCCTCATTTCTTCAAAGATGCCCTATCCAGGAACTTCTGATTGCATCAGGGAAACTGGGAAAAGTGGTTTTTGGAATCTGAATGCAGTGTTGCCCTGCAAAAATTCTGGGTTCTGTTGAGAAAGGAGGAGAGTTGTATTTATCACAGGAATATAACTGATATTATATTTGGGACTTTTTTTTTTTTTTAATATAGCTGGCTCACCCTAGAAGCCCAACTCCAACTCTGCCACTTTCTACAAGCAGCTTTGATGAACAAAACTGATGCCAACTCTGCCTGACTCCATGTGATGATCCATAAAAAATACAGATAAAAACACCCAGCCAGGCACAGTGGCTCACAACTGTAATCCCAGCACTTTGGGAGGCTGAGGTGGGTGGATCACCTGAGGTTAGGAGTTCGAGACCAGCCTGGCCAACATGGTGGAATCCCATCTCTACTAAAAATACAAAAATTAGCTGGGCATGGTGGTGGGTGCATATAATCCCAGCTATCTGGGAGGCTGAGGCAGGAGAATCGCTTGAACCCAGGAGGCAGAGGTTGCAGTGAGCCAAGATAGCGTCATTGCATCCCAACCTGGGCAACAAGAGCGAAACTCCATCAAGGAAAAAAAAAAACCCAAATCCTTTTTTTTAATGTAGTAGGGTATATATATAGATATACTAATATAATTCCATTTGGAGAATTAGAGTATGTATGGAGCGCACATATACTGTGATATAAAGTGGATACAGATATTTGGATATTTTCTAGTTTGCATGATCATCAAGAGAACCAGATGGGAAAATACAGTCTCCAAAGTGATGTTTATCCTGGAATTACCCAATTTAGGTTGGAGAGGTTGTTAAAATTTAACTAGATGACTCAGTTTATACTGTATAGGTGCAGTTATGACAGTAATAAAATAGCCTCTTGGCTCATACCTATAATTCCAGCACTTTGGGAGGCTAAGGTAGGAGGATTGCTTGAGCCCAGGAATTCAAGACTAGCCTGGGCAATATAGGGAGACCCCGTCTCTATTAAAAATACAAAATCAGCCAGCTATGGTGACACCTGCCTATAGTCCCAGCTACTCAGGAGGCTGAGATGGGAGGATCACTTGAAGCTGTAGTGCACTATAATTATGCCTGTGAATAGCCACTCTACTCCAGCCTGGACAACATAGCAAGACTCCATCTCTAAAAATTAAAAAAAAATTTAAATTAGGATATCATTTCTCGCATCTTAGGTAGGTACTTATATCTGGCTCACAGAAGTCTGAGGTATTCCTTATTTTTATATCTGCTGTCCACATTTATACAGCTACATAAAAATTTTATGACGACTTCAACATGAACCTTATATTTTCGACAATGCCTTACCAAGGATTCTCAAGTCCATAGCAGGTCACTGTGAGACCTAGTTCCCTGTTGTCACTGACTTATGTATTCAAAAACAGTAATACAGCCTGGGAAACATAGCGAGACCCCATCTGTATCAAAAATTTAAAATTAGCCAGGCATGGCCGGGCGCCGGTGGCTCACGCCTGTAATCCCTGCACTTTGGGAGGCCGAGGCGGGCGGATCACGAGGTCAGGAGATCGAGACCATCCTGGCTAACACGGTGAAACCCCGTCTCTACTAAAATACAAAAAATTAGCCGGGCACGGTGGCGGGCGCCTGTAGTCCCAGCTACTCGGGAGGCTGAGGCAGGAGAATGGCACGAACCCGGGAGCGGAGCTTGCAGTGAGCCGAGATGGTGCCACTGCACTCCAGCCTGGGCGACAGAGTGAAGACTCTGCCTCAAAAAATAAATAAATAAATAAATAAATAAAATAAAATAAAATAAAATTAGCCAGGCATGGTGATGCGTACCTGTAGTCTAAGTGTCCTAGTTACTTGGGAAGCTGAGGTGGGAGGATCACTTGAGCCCAAAAGTTTGAAGCTATGGTGAGCTATGATTGTTCCACTATACTCCAGAATGGGCAACAGAGCAAGAACCCATCTCTAAAACTAAAAGGCAACTCCCCAGAAAGACTGGATTTCTACAGATAAATATTGCATTAAGATGCCAAATAGAGTGTTGTAAAGTCACCAGACTAGAAAGCAAACCTGGGGGCAATGTTTACCACCTAAGAGGCAGTCCTGTTTTTGAGACCCACATCTTTATAAATATATATTTTTTGTTTGTTTGTTTTGTTTTGTTTTGAGATGGAGTCTCACTCTGTCACCCAGGCTGGAGTGCAGCGGCACACTTTTGGCTCACTGCAACCTCCACCTCCCGGGTTCAAGCAATTCTTCTGCTTCAGCCTCTCGAGTAGCTGGGATTACAGGTGCACACTGCCATGCCTGACTAATTTTTGTATTTCTAGTAGAGACGGGGTTTCATTATGTTGACCAGGCTGGTCTCGAACTCCTCACCTCAGGTGATCCACCCACCTCAGCCTCCCAAAGTGCTGAGATTACAGGCATGAGCCACCACACCTGGCCAGAGATCCACATCTATATTTATAACACATTTATGGATGAAAATTAAACAGGTGGCCGGGTACGGTGGCTTATGCCTGTAATCCCAGCACTTTGGGAGGCCGAGGCAAGTGGGGAGGTCAGGACTTCAAAACCAGTCTGGGTAACATGGTGAAACCCCATCTCTACTAAAAATACAAAATTAGCCAGGTGTGGTGTCATGCGCCTGTAGTCCCAGTTACTTGGGAGGCTGAGGCCGGAGAATCGCTTGAACCTGGGAGGCAGAGGTTGCAGTGAACCGAGATCACACCACCGCCACTCCAGCCTGGTGACAGCAAGAGACTCTGTCTCAAAAAAAAAAAAAAACAAATTAAATAGGTAGTGAAGAGATATATCAGCTTCTAGTAAAAGTTAAAAAAAAAAAAAACCCTAGCTACGTTTACATTATGTAAAATTAAAGGGAATAATCACTGAGAATAAAGCAGCTGAGTATTTACAACAATAATATTTTAGGGGGCACTTACAATGTTTATAATATTGTAAACCACTGTGTACTCTATTCATTTAATGCTAAATGACTTGACCATTCTTGTGGGATAAGAGATCATAAGAAAAATGCAAGGGCCGGGCTTCATGGTTCACGCCTGTAATCCCAGGACTTTAGGAGGCCAAGGCAGGTGGATGCCTTGAGCTCAGGAGTTTGAGACCAGCCTGGGCAACGTGATGAAAACTCCGTCTCTTCCAAAAATCAAAAAATTAGCCAGGTGTGATGTTGCGTGCCTGTAGTCCCAGCTACTTGTGAGGCTGAGGTGGGAGGACGGTTTAGACCTGGGAGGTAGAGGTTACAGTGAGCTGAGATCATGCCACTGTATTCCATCCTGGGCAACAGAGCCAGACCATCTCAAAAAAAAAAGGCCAGTTACGGTGGCTCATGTCTGTAATCCCAGCACTTTAGGAGGCTGAGGTGGGCAAATCACTTGAGGTCAGGCATTTGAGACCAGCCTGGCCAACATGGTGAAACCCCATCTCTACCAAAAATAAAAATAAATATTATCCAGGCATGGTGGCATGTGCCTATAGTCCCAGCTACTCAGGAAGCTAAAGCACGAGAATTACGTGAACCCTGGAGGTGGAGGCTGCAGTAAGCCGAGATCACACCACTGCATTCCAGTGTGGACAACAACAGTGAGACCCTGTGTCAAAAAAAAAAAAAAAGAAGAAGAAGAAGAAAAGAAAGAAAAAAATGCTTTATGGCCCAGTGCAGTGGCTTACACCTATAATCCTAGCACTTCGGGAGGCTGAGGTGGGAGGATCACTTGAGGCCAAGAATTCAAAACGAGCCTGGGCAACATTGCAAGACTCCATCTCTACAAAAAAAAAAACAAAAAATTAGCCTGGTGCAGTGACATGTGCCTGTAGTCCCAGCTACTCAGGAGAATGAGGTGGGAGAATCACTTGAGCCCGGGAGGTTGAGGCTGCAGTGAGCTGTGTTTATACCACTGCACTCCAGCCTGCTGGGTAACAGAGCAAGACTCCGTCTCAAAAAGAAAAGAAAAAATGCTTTGCTACATAATGGGGCCAGGCAAAACAAGACAAAAAAAAGTCCTATGGAAATCATATAGATAAACATTTGCAAAGCTGCTACTGCCATTGTACAGTGTTAAAATGTGTTCTACCTTACATCTTTTACTGATTTTTATGACAGATTTTATATTGTAACCATTTGAGAACTCTGTAAGTGCTATGGCTTCCTTAAACTACTATTTATCATATGCTCCCAGTGCTTACTTTGAGACTGAATGGCAACCAGAGAATGTAAACAACCAAGGTGCATCTGGTAAAATGTTTTTAAATAAAGATTAATAAAAGTTTTGGTTTTTCTCTTTCTAACCTTTTTTTTTTTTTTTAAACTAGAGATATAATACCTATAGAAAAGTGTATGTTGGCCAGGTGCAGTGGCTCACGCCTACAATCCCAGCACTTGGAGAGGTGGAGGCAGGTGGATCACCTGAGGTCAGCAGTTCAAGACCAGTCTGGTCAGCATAGTGAAACCCTGTCTCTACTAAAAATACAAAAATTAGCTGGGCGTAGTGGCAGGTGCCTGTAATCCCAGCTACTGGGAAGGCTGAGCCAGGAGAATTTATTGAACCTGGGAGGCAGAGGTTGCAGTGAGCTGAGATCACCCCATTGCACTCCAGCTTGGGCAACAAGAGTGAAACTGTCTCAAAAAGTATATGTTAAGTATAGAAAAAATATATCAAATTTAAAAATTATAGGCTAGGGGCCAGGCACAGTGGCTCACACCTGTAATCCCGGCACTTTGGGAGGCCGAGGTGGGTGGATCACTTGAGGTCACGAGTTCGAGACCAGCCTGGCCAACATGGTGAAACCCCCTCTCCACCAAAAAAATATATAAAAATTATCTGGGCATAGTCGCATGTGCCTATAGTTCCAGCTTCTCAGGAGGCTGAGGCACGAGGATCACTTGAACCATGGAGGTGGGAGTTGCAGTGAGCCAAGATCACACCACTGCACTACAGTCTGGGCAACAGAGTGAGACTTTGTCTCAAAAAAAAGAAAGAAAAGAAAGAAAAATGCTTTATGGCCCAGTGCAGTGGCTCACACCTATAATCCTAGCACTTTGGGAGGCTGAGGCAGGCGGACCACTTGAGGTCAAGAGTTCAAAACGAGCCTGGGCAACGTTGCAAGACCCTGTCTCAAGAAAAACCAAAAAATTAGCCAAGCATGGTGGTGTGTGCCTGTAGTCCCAGCTACTTGGGAGACTGAGGTGGGGAATCACTTGAGTCCAGGAGGTTGAGGCTGCAGTAAGCTGTGTTCATACCACCTGCACTCCAGCCTGCTGGGTGACAGAGCAAGACTCTGTCTTCAAAAAAAAAAAAAAAGAAAGAAAAATGCTTTACTATATAATGAAGCCAGGCAGGAAAAAAAAAAGTCCATGTAGATAAACATTTGCAAAGCTGCTACTGCCATTGTACAGTGTTAAAATGTGTTCTACCTTACATCTTTAAATAAAGATTAATAAAAGTTTTAGTTTTTCTCTTTTTAACCTTTTTAAACTAGAAATAATACCTATAAAAAAGTATATATTAAGTATAGAAAATATATGTGAATTTAAAGATCAAGACTGAGTGTGGTGGCTCACACCTATAATCCCAGCACTTTGGGAGGCCGAGGTCGGCAGATCACCTGGGGTTGGAAGTTCAAGACCAGTCTGGCTAACATGGTAAAACCCCATCTCTGCTAAAAATACAAATTTAGCTGGGCATGGTGGTGCGTGCTTGTAATCCCAGCTATTTGGGAGGCTGAGGCAGAAGAATTGCTTGAACCCAAGAGACAGAGGTTGCAGTGAGCCCAGATAGCACCACTGCACTCCAGCCTGGGTGACAGAGTGAGACTCTGTCTCAAAAAAAGAAAAAGAAAAAAAAAAAAAATATATATATATATATATATAGGCCGGGGGCCAGGTGCGGTGGCTTACACCTGTAATTCCAGCACTTTGGGAGGCCGAGGCAGGTGGATGACATGAGGTCAGGCGTTCGAGACCAGCCTGGCCAACATGGTGAAACACCATTTCTACCAAAAGTACAAAAGAAAATTAGCCAGGCATGGTGGCACATGCCTGTAATCCTAGCTACTCAGGAGGCTGAGGCATGAGAATCACTTGAGCCTTGGAGGCAGAGGTTACAGTGAGCCAAGATCGCACCACTACACTCCATCCTA